AGCTGCACACAAGCACGTTCGTCCCGTAGTTCTCTGCTCGGTCGAAATACTATTCCACCAGCAGTGAATTATCTGTCATGAATGTGCCTCGGATTGATTCATTCGTGCAATGAATGTCGGTACTTTTATTTTTTCCGCCGTAATATCATTGCACTCATTGGAGGTACTAGTCGAGGGAGATTCACCGCTGATAGAATACATGTCAGACACATCAAGCTACAGTAGTACACCCTTTGGAGCGTTTGGTGTGAAAAGTTGACGAATGAATTTGGGATGCCGCCGTATAGTCGCTATCAAACCTCGCTGAAATTCCTTCAAAGAACGGTAGATAGAATGAATCGTCGTGTGAACTTGCCAAATAAATAGCTGAAAAATCGTATCGGCTTCGATGATTGACAGTCAGTACGGTTACATTGGGTACAATAAACAGTTTTTTTCAACACACCCACGCACTCATCATCTGCTTGGGCCAGTGATGGTATAAGTTGCCTGAATCGCGGGGACGAGTAGTGCGTGCGAAGACGGGGGTGAGTTTGGGGGTCAAGCGCATGTTTTCGTTGTTTGGGCTTGATTGAGTCTTCCGAAGGGCGCCAGCTACGATTGATTCTTGGTAGTTGTACGAACCCGCGACTTAATGTGTAAACCAATCCGTATCACGGCTAGCTATACTTGTTGTAAATCTGTTTCGGTTCATCAACAAGTATGTATTGTAGTATTCGGTGCCCAGTGTGTGCCCCATCGACTGAAAAATCGCCGTCTGCATGATGACACATCATGCAAATCTACCTATCTATCTATGTAGAAATATGTAGCAGCAATCCAAGGCCATCAGAACCGCCGACAACGCATGTTGGCGAGGCATGATGCAAATATCCTGTATAATGCTCAGCTACATTTCTGAGAACGCCGCGGAAGAAGGATTTCAGGGAGCTAGGATAGAGACCAGCAACGAACGGCAACAAAAACACCCCAAAAAGCAAGGCAGCTGACAGTGGAACGATGCGTAAATGATAAAACGGAGAAAAAACAAGCGCTGAACCAGATTTGAACTGGTGACCTATTGAGCTGCAATCAATTGCTCTACCCCTGAGCTATCAGCGCGCTCATGCGTAAATAGTCATCAAGTCGATATCTAATTGAAAAATTGTGTTTGGGCCAAGAGCACGGAAATATTATATGTAGTTGTTGTTGTTGTTGTTGTTGTTGTTGTTGTCTTCACATTAAAAACCGTTCCGATCTCTCTCTACCCAGTACCTTCGTATGTCCGTACTGATCTAACACTCGACGCGGTCGATTCCCGTAGTAGATATGATTGATAATGTAGATATGGTTACGGTATGGTATTTTGTTGTAAACTGGTCCCTCTCTTGCCCCTCCAAAGAAGTACTCAGAGAATTTGAAACCGAGTATTGAGTGTCCGCACAGAAACGTGTTTGCTATTTTCTCGCTCTCCCTGTCTATATCCCTCGACATTTTGCATGTCACGCATCAGACTTCTTGATCTTCGAAACTGCTGTACTTCTACGTAGCACAGCGTGGAAGGTGCACCACATAGAACTACAAATATATATATACTACTACTATACAGGCACGCCGAATAACCATCCATACGCATGAAAATGTACCAGTGCCTACCCTCTCTGGTATGCATACATACATACATACATACGGACGCACGTGCTATTGATAGCGCAAGTGAAGTGCACGGTACACTCACATGTATTTTTCACGCGTGACGGGATTTCAGCGGTTGGAGTTCACAAACCGGGCTATGCTATGCAGCACAGCTTCATTCATTCATAGGCTCCATATCCGGCATCTGTGTGCATCGCCTGGTTGGTAAGAGTTTGCAACTTCGAATGGGGGCTCAGGGAGAGGAACCCTTGTGTGTGACCACGGATTGGAGCTCCTGCACGGCAGAAATGCTGTGTGTGTGGGCGCTGATTTATCAAAGTGATGAAAGGAACGCATATATATGCCACCCCGTGGAGTCTTCCAGTTCCCGCACGCTTGCTTTTTTTCTTGTCGTGGGCAAAACAAATAAATGTGATTTCTTGGAGTCAGAGTCAGGATCCATGTTGTTGGTGATCCCGATTACTTTGATCGCTTAACACAAATGGACGTCTCCCCGATGCTGTATCATCTTGCCGCGGTGATTCGTGTGCGTGTACCTTCGCCATTGTGTGCATGCACACATAAACGCATCACGGAAAAAAAAAAAAGTCCTGGATTATCCGTGGATAGAGAGAGATGGATTCACCGTGGTTCAAGCATAATAAAAAAACACACCACAGCCGGTGAACTCGTTCATTCACGTGACGCATGGGCCAATACAAAACGACTACTTGTGGATTGCGGCCCTCCTCATTTTACGGTATGTACGGCTCAACTTGACACACGATAGACGAAAGGGGGCGGGAGAACTCGCTGGTACAGCAAATACCTACTATGCGGGTGTTTGCGAAGTCACCTCCCCTTCCTTGTACTCGTGTCTAAACTATTTCGGGACCACAATCAACGAACACGCTCGCTCGTGGTCTAGACTACGAAAACATCCTCCTTTCCTAGATCGATCCCCATCGCACGTTGTAATAAGAACACGTACATGATGACGCCCCGCCATCGTGACACGCATGGTTTTAACACACGGTGGTGTACCACTGTGCCAATCACTGTCCTTCCGCCGGAAAGGGGTATATTCGAACAAGTTCAATCAATCCTAATGAGAAATGGATGGGCAACTTATTTATTTTTCATCAGACATTTTGGAGTACCTACTGAATGCAATCACCATCATCATCATCGGCCCTGCCTTCTTCACGGAGAAACCTCCGATCGAGAACCTCCGTTCTGGGGTAAACACACAAAATAACCGCAATACGGGTACAGTAGTATCTCAATCCTCAAGAAGAAAATTATCATCTACCATGTTGTAGCGTCGCGAATCGCGTTATTACAAACAAAAGCTGCTACATGTTGAGTGGTACGCCAAGCCAGATGGTGGGGGAACCACATGCAGCAGTAGTAGCACATGCTCTAATTCGCTTCATGTCGCGAGCAAAACAACCAAAGCAGCCGTCATTCCAAAGTAATATCTGGTCGTTATCCTCACAAAAAAAAACTAGATATTTAGAAGTTTTGGTAGATAGTAGAAAATCTCCGCAGCACACATCAAGAGCAACGAACGAGATCTCTCTCATAATATACAAAGCTACCCAAGAAGAAACTCAACGACAGAACATCGCACCCGGGTCTACGACATCGGGGACTCCTGAAAGAGGGGAAACGGGTCAAAAAATATCCCCAATAAAGAACAAGTCGTGAGGGATTTGTGTTTCCGTCGATGGCACAACAACAAAACGCTGCGGAGATGTCGCCGTCACACCACACTGCACCCAAGACGGAGAAGGGAGCATGGGACCGACCTCGGGAGGACCAATCAATGAAGAGCATCGGAGAATCGGCGACAAGCACTAGACGCACGCAGAATGCGTCTCTAATAGAAAAGAAAACTCACACTAAAACGGAACCTCAGCTACTAAAATCCAAGGTGACGGGGGGGGCGCGCGCTAGCAAAGACGCGCCTGTAACAAAGTGACACCGTGGATTGGCTGGGTAAGTTAAACCCGAACTTTAAGCTATTCAGCAAGCTGGATGCGGCACAGCAGTCAACTGGTTGATCGACAACACCCGAGCGCTAGGGCTTGGTTGCAGAAGCGTACGCAGACTACGGATACGTGAATACAACACGTCAAGGACGATATTCTCGGGATAGGAAATCCAAAGTTGAAAAAGAGAGAATCACAAGAACAACCCTGCAGGGAACTACTGTGGAGGACAGGCGGTGTGGATAGTTGGTATCCATATGCACGGACACACGATTGCAGGAAGCCAACAAACCCCCGGCAACGTTCCGACGAACGGTTGCACTGGAGGACACCAGCGGCGGGCACGCAACCCTGACGTATGCCACCACTTGGCTCTGACGCTGAGGGGCTGCCCAAATCACTCAACTCTCTTTTCGGCCAACCTACCGCGTAAGGGGGGCGAATAATGTGCCCTCCTCGAATGGGCAAAGCTACGACCTTCGCGCCACGCCGTTTACCAATGAAGTGGAATCTCGGTCCTGAACGCGCCTACTAAATGCACAACAACGAGTTCATGGCGGACAACCCACACGGAAAATACAAGACAACCACAATCTACGTACCTTTCCAGCCACTACTCCTTCCAGAACAAAAATAACGCATGTACGGGCGGGAGACAGACCCCAACCTCTCTTTCAGCCATTTTTGCTGTTCCCCTACGAACAAAGCAACATATGAGCCACAAAAAGGGCAAAAGTACCGAAAAACTTGGGTAGAGTCAACAGCGACACACACACACACATCCATCTGTCCCGATCCGCCGCGTCTTTTCGGTACTCTTTTTCTGATGACACACAATCATCGAACTCCACCAAAATAACAAGGTCGCCAGAGAGAGATTGAGAAAGAGAAAGGCATCTCCTCATGCGCATCAACCAAGGCCAACGTGCCGTCGCTCTTTGCACCATTGAAACCCAACCCCCCGGATAATTGATAGAAGTACACAGTATCACGGTACAAAAATTAGACGCGCTTTCTCAAGGAAAGCCCTGCGCCAACAACAAAGCCATCATCATCGTTTACCGCTTTGATCGATCCCAACCAACAACCAGCGAACTGGACCCCTCATCCTCCATATAGGCCATTCCTCTACAGGCTTTGATGGAAGTCTCCATTCCAACACCTGTGAGATAAATTCCCACTGACTTGGCATGTCCGGCCATACAGTCGTGGCTCCGATAAGAGGGTGGTGTGACAACGGCTCGACAGCCTCATATATCGGAGCCCCCTCTTTGTACCGGATTATACTGTAGAGGGTCCAAGTCGTGACAACCGATTTGGATCCTCTTCTGTCGGAGCCCCCTTGTACAAGGTACCCTCTTATCTCGGAGCCACGACTGTACCGAGAGGGCGCTACCAGCCGGTCGCTGGCACTACCGTTTCACGCATCGTCGCCTGAGTGCCGCCGCTTGTTGCTCCTAGCGATGCCATGAGCGTGTTGAATAGTATCAACCAGGACAGAGACATGAGCGACAGGCCCGCCAGGACCCGTGCGCCGTTGTCCGGCTGGGTGGTATCGGTCTGGAATACCACCACTTGATCCAACCCGTACTCTGCCATCGTAGTGTAGTTGCTGGCCGGGTTTGATGACTCCTTCGCGGTAACGACCACCGTCACATAGTACTCGTTGCCCTGTGGTCCAACAGTACGCGCACAAAGATGGGTCGCCCCAGCGGGAGGTCGACAAAAGAACACGGCGCATGCATGGCGCGTCCGTCAAATACAAAAGCCGATCGGGTAAGAAGAGGTCATCGCCGAATCGTCTTTGGCGGGGCGGGGTGGTACAAGTTGTCGGTCACGCTTCAAACACATTTTAGCTTAGCCCGATAATTTTGAACGCTTCACTATGAAGCCGGTTCTTTATGCCAAACAATGATGTAGGGAACAAACGCGCCCGAAAATGTTGTACACGTACCCCCTGAGTTGTGGCAGCGACTGAGTACTGAGCAACGTCGGCGGGGGCACACACAAGCGAGGGCCCCACCGACACTCACGACATCGTGCGACCCTGCAAACACATTAGGCAATGTTGTATACACACCCCCCGCATCGGAGATGTGGCGGTGACCGAGTGCTGAGCAACGCCGGCGGGGGCACACACACTCATCATGAGACTCCACGGAGGAGAGAAAAGGTCGCCTTGCGTGCCACTGTGACCGACGCTAGCCAACCCGAGCCGCAGGCAAAAAGCACCGGGCATCTCATTCACAAGGCAGGCAGACTCGCCTTGGGCGTGTTGCAGACAGGGCTCTGCTGGGGGCTTGGATCACAGCAGTAGCAGATGATGATGGCACCCCCCTTTCTGCCCTATCCGAGGGACCCCTACCTAATGCCAACAACAACACGCATATATTCTCTTCTACCCTCTACATGGGGGCCGCTTATTGGCTCGGCCTCCCCACTCATACCTTGGGGAGGTCGTGCCTGGGGGATCAGCGGAGGGCGCATGGCTCTGCGATCCATGGCACTTCTCACCTCAGGAAGATCGAAGCTAAGGGGGATGTAGGGATCGAAGGGCTCGTCCTTGTGGTACAGCTCGCCTCCGTCCTGGACCTGGCAGAGGCTCAAGCTGTCCTGGCCCTCGATGTAATCGTTAACGTACCCGTCCACCGTGCACCCGAAGCCACCGCAGTAGTTGTTGTCGTCGTTGAAGTAAACGTTCACCGTAGTGCTGGGGATTAACATAACACCGAACGCAAGCGACACGACAGCAAACAGCAGCAGCAGTTGCAGCAGCAGCAGCAGCAGCAGAAGGGCGCGTCGCGTCACAACCGACACAACTTCGTGCGACGAGGCATGAAATAAAACAGCGGCGATATCTTGGGGGGAAAACTTCAGTCCTCTGCTTGCGGGAGGCGCGGACCCGAAGACGAGCAGGAAAGCGTCGTTGTGTGTGTTCCAGAACCAGAGAGAAGGAGGCGTTTTCGCCCTCTCCAATCCTACCTACCGAGCGATGCCTGCCGACAACCACGACCACAACACCACAAAAGCTACATGTCACCAGTATTGTCACGGCAACGGGAGCGAGCGTAAACCTACGATATGGACGTCAATCACGGCGCACTCGTCGCATCGAAGAACAAGCACACAAGCAACGACTCTTCCCAAAACAATGCCTGACGTCCTGCTCCGTGAGAGAGGGGAGAGACTCAGCTATACCGTAGTAGAGCACACCGCACACTAAGCGCACCACACAAGAAACGACTCAGAGAGGGAATAGGGAGGCAGGACGACATTGTCAACAAGCCTCACTTGATCAAACTCCCTTCCTTGATGAAACTGTCCTCGATCCAAACGGATTGGGTAACCACTCCAGATGGGACGGGGACTTCCTCCGAGAACATCACCACATCCACCGTGGCGTTTCCGGCCCCTGCACGCAAATTTTCACACAACGCACACGTTTATTATTATCTTCATCACAATAAATCAGCGCTCTGACACACGCAGCATTTTTGCCGAGGAGCGCTCCAATCGGTGGTCACACGGACAGGTTCGTCGCCCTGACGCCCCCTATCCACCCGCCCTGGGGGGCTTGCCTCCGATCATGAACGCGAGAAGTGCGCAGCACTCTCTTCCCCTATGTTCGGGTAAAAAGGGATATGCCATGATACTGACGGACGAAAACCGCGGTGGCGTCGATCTTCGCGTGGGCGTTTCACACAAGCGACGAACCAAACCATACGTAGTACCGAGTTTGATAAGCGAAGCCTTTGGGGTCGAAACCATGTGAGTCTCTGTAGAACGGGATTCGTGTCTACGGCCGAAAATGCATGTACATAAGCCCTTGCTTTACATCTCGAACGGAACCTTGCGAAGGGTACGCGGCTATAATAACGTTTTTTCACTAGCCGGCTCGTGCCCTTCGCGTGTCTTGTTTCAAGATCGAAACTTTTTTGGCTCCACAACGGCTTAAGCAGAAAACAACAAGAAACTATTGTGGTGGTCATTAGCAGAAAAGCAGCCGTCTTCGTCCGGCGCGCTAGGTCATTGGGCTTCAACCCTGCCGGAAAGACGAACAAAATTCAACACGGTATAGCGGCAGCTCGTGGCGACACATGCGAGGCACAAAAAACACAGATACCGATTGAGGTTCCCCCAAAAGCACCCGTTGTGAAGATACGTCCATGTGTACTTCAGCTTTAAAAAACTCCCTTGTAAAAACGGGACAATACGAGACAGCGATTGCGCCCGCATCCAAATGTAGTGCCGCAAATGCCTTGGTTTTCACACCTCACTTACTAAACCGGGACGGACATTGCGCCCACATGCAAATGTTGCGAAGATGAAACATCCACAACACATACATACCTTGATTGTCAAGCCTCACATACTGCTGTGAGCCAGCGATTTCGCCCGCCGCAAGCAAACGTTGCTAAGATGCAAAACCCACATCCATGGCTTGGTCTTCGTTCCTCTCAATAAAACGGGGCAGCAAAAAAGACACCGTTTGCGCCCCGCATCCCAAGGTTGCTGAGATGCGGCATCCATGTAAAAACCGTACCTTGGTTTTCAAACCTCACTCGGCCCGCCTCGAGTGGTTCGGTGTCCTCGTAGGCGATGCCACTCTTCGAGTACGTCTCCTCCGGGTTGTACTGCCAGAAGGTGCAGCCGTCCTCTCCTAGAACGGAAAGATCGTTCTGGGCCTTGGGGAAGGAAAAGAGTCGTCACGGCAACGACGACAAAGAACGCAACAAAAAACACAATAACAGAGGCCACAGAGGTGAGATTTATGGCTATCCATCCCACATGACCGAAGACGCAGAACGGATTTTTTTTTTTTTTCCCGTCTCCGACAGGGTGTCGGGGGAGCATCTTGCAAAGAGTGTGGAGTCTCATACCACGTGCGACAGGCACACTGCTGGTCGAAGGGCGAGCGCCTAGTGTAGTGGCCATCGCTGCTGTCTTGGCGAAGGGTTTAGTGCCATCAACCCTTGCGGAAAGTGCTGGTCTGCATCGGGATTATGCAAAGGCTGCCGCATGCGATAGACCCTGCCATCAGTCGCATCAATGAAGAAGCATCCTGGCCTGTGTGTGTCCACGCTACCCGGAAGTAGCGATAAGAGAACTGGGGCAACACCGCCCTCAACGCCAGGATTGAAAAAATTAAGTCATCATAGCATGGAATCAAATCCCGACGTTAACCACCGTTGGCGTTCCAGCAACTTTCCTCAAAAGTTGCCACAGATGATCAAAAAGTTCGTTGTCGTTGTGTTGGACAAAAAAAAAAAAACGTTTCGATCTCGTGGACTCTTCTTCAATTGTACCAAAAACAAATTGAGTGATGCGTTTCCGAAATTGAATTCTTCGACATGACCCAACCTCAACTGTGAGGAGTGATGGTACTGCTTCGGGTGCGACTACGGACAAATCTCGAGCGCGGGGTTGACTGCCAACGACTTCGTTGTACGAATGGTTGACCACTACCAAGTGCCAATATTATTCCACCAAGCGACAATTCCTCTCACATCTTTCGGATGCCGACCTGATGTCATTGTTACGTATTCGGAATCTCGCATATGCGGTGGCAGGCACCCTGTACAATGGTACTACGTAGTTTGCCAGAGCAACAGCGAGTGGAGGAAAAATATTCGATACACCCATGGGGACGCACATAAGCCATGCACCCACACCGTTTTTTACCGACAGAACCACGCAACCAAGAGCGACCTAGGCCCACACAACCTAACACCTACCCACGTCAACACCAACCTAGCACACATCCAAGCCATACCAACCTAGGTCGATCGCATCAGCACCAACCTAGCACCTATCCATGCAATACCAATCTAGAGATTATCCCACCAATACCAACCTTGCGCCAAATGCCGGCGCACCAATCTAGCCCCAATGCCGGCCCACCAACCTAGAACTGAGCCACGCAGCGCTAACCTAGCCCTAATGCAGGCACAACAACCTAGAACTGAGCCACCCAATGTCAACCTAGCACCTATTCGGTCGGTTTGGGGCTATAGGGTTATAAGGTTAGCGTTAGGGATTTAGCCGGGTTCATGTAGTTGCTGCTTGGAGGGACAGAAAACTGCGTCTGCCTGCCTGCCTGCCTGCCTGTAGTAGAGCGACAGGTTGTAGAGAAACAAGAAAACGCATACATTCGTGACGCTCCTTCCTCAGACAAGATTTCCGTCGGTAAAAAAGGTGTGGGTGCATGGCTTGTATGCGTCCCTGTGGGTGCATATAATATTTCGGCGAGTGGAGAGGCCGCCTCGCGAAACTCCTACGCGGCGTGAACGACAAACGAAAACGTGCCTGCAACCTCGATCCATCCGTCTATCTCCCTGTCGAAGGATTGAGTCTCCAACAAGCGATACTTAGGCCAACGCGCAACTTATTTTTTCCGTCCCTTCCTCCCCCTCTCTCTCGACCGATTAGAGGAAACTCGACCAAGCGGTCAGCAGACGGCCAGCACAGTATCTAGCTCTTTATCATCTTGTCAGATTGTTGCTCAGCCCTTCGTCCCTCGCCGGGGCCGCTCATCTCAGTTTTGTGGCTCAAGTACTTTTTAACACACCAGTCCATACGTCGTGGCCGGGCAATTAGTATAAGTCCGCACTGGAACGACGCACTCCGCTGTACTTTTGCATCCGCGTTTGAACGCCGCATACGCGTGCGCATACTGCATGCTGATGCAACGGACCTTTCAGAATGGCGCATGCCACGCACATATAGCTTGCTGGTGCAACGGACCTCTTGGTTGTTACACGATGCACCGGGCGCACTTCTGTAGGTAAGGCCCGGGCATTGCCCCCCCCCGAAAAGACGTCCATGAACCCGCTGCTCTCTCCACGATACTGTTTTCGGGTGTGTATCTCCGTTGAGCCGCATACCCCACAGCTTTCTCAGGCTACATTTGCATGTGCATGGCGGGGAAGCTGTCAGACTCGTTGTAGATACATCACTCGCAAGGTGGATTTTGTTTTTCTCTGGGTCCATTATATTTTACGTTTCTTCCGTGTACCCCCTTGTCCCGTGACCACGGAAAGCTTCCGCGTCATTGCACCCGTAACAATAACTACAAGGTACTGAGGTTATATGATACCGGAAAGGTTTCCGTAACGGTAAGACAAGAAGACAACAAGGTGGAGAGAAGAATCACATGAGAGAGACAGAACGACACTTACGTAAATACAGCCCCCGATGGAGGGCAAGTAGTTGAGCTTCTCCGAGTACTGGATCTGGAGAGGCTGCGGGTCATCCAGAGAACATTGTCGGTACGACACCGCGAAGTGGTTCGACAGATCCCCAACGAAATCGATATTCGCCCTCAGGCCGGGCTGAATAACGATCTGCACGGCCGAGCAGCACACACACACACAAAAACGATGACAGGGTTTGGGTTGTTGGTGTTCGGGTTGGTGGCGAAATAAAAAGGTACAATATTTCGGTATATGCTTGGCATGTTTGGGGGTACCAGAAAGGGCACCTACGGCTTACCGCTGTTATAGCAGGGGAAACGGCAGAGTCGGGCGTAAAAACACACACAAGAGTATCGCTAGTTGATACCTCCACTGCTGCTGCTGTATCGCCGGGTCGCGAGGAGTCCCTAGCGATTTTGGTCGGAGCCTCTCGAGGCCCAGACCTGACGCATCAAGTTCGGTGCTGACAGAGATGCCAGAGGCCCAACAAGGCCTGCTGGCAGCACCACGCCGTCTCCGATGAGTTGACTTATAATTCGTCCGTCTCAGAAGAACAGGACATGCATGCACGCCACGTGTGCTAGCAGCGTAGAGCGTATTTTCGCTCTAGTGAAGCTGTCGAAATCGACGGCAATTGTTGGTAAAACACCCATCTCGGGATACGACGATTGTCACAACTCACGAAATAGCCCTTACCTTCTGGATGCAAGTTTGTAGGGGACCAGGTGCATGCTACAATGCTAACCTAGCAGTACCCACGGCGGTACACACTGCCTATACATCAATCGGTGGTCTTTGTGTTATGGGGTCAGGAAATTGTGTCAAAAACGGGGTGAAACAGAGTGTGTTGAAAAGGCTGGTGAAAAGCAAATGACGCGGCCGAGGTTGACCTACTGCCGACCAGTTGCCCGAGTCTATCTGTGTGAGGGTATCAGCGACTGTCACATGGTCTTTCAACAGATTGTTATTATGAGTAAGCGGCAAACTGTCGGAGAAGAAGTGTGTGTGTGTGTGTGGAACTCATGAAACTTGAAATCCCGCACAACAAGTCCAACACGCGATGGTGGGCGCACGCGCGCTCCATCTCTCAAGGAGCACCAGCCACACAGGAGGGGGGCTCCGTGGACAAGAGCGTGCTGCGGCTTCATCGCCACGAGGAGCAGCAGGAGGCATCGCCAATGAGCCGAACGCGTTCAGTTCAACACAGCTCGGTGGTCGTAAGCGGAGTGATGGATGATACAGCCTTCGATTCTCGAGGCACTCGTTCGGTTCTTGTTGTTTTTGTCCCGCCTGAAACATGAGGTACTGGCACTAGATTAAGGTACGTTTTTCGTTTTTCGCGGAGAAAAGTTGAGTTGTGTTGTGCTGGTTTATTTTTCTTTCCTCGCGCTGGCCTATGTAGGGTGCATGTGCTCGCTTAGGTTTTGCGTGCAAAAATATTATGTACACCGCCTGACGTGTCAACCGCGAGTGCGACATCATTGTAGGTCGCCACCTGTCTCTGGCATCTCGGTGTACCGAAAAAAAACGTCTGGAAAGATATCGTATAGTATCCCCTTTTTTCTCGAGAAGTTGGCATTGGGTCGAGACCGCTAAATCACGTGCAAGAACTAAAACGCCTTCGGCAAAGGCTCTTGGTTTGTGCCAGGCCTTCAAGGGATTGAGTCGAGAGCGTACAAGGTTACGCCAAACGTTCTCAGGCTGTGGTTTGTGTCAGGCCTTCAATTGGCTTCTGGCGGATGCTCCTTTGTCGGACTTCTCGCTTACTGCTGTGGTTTTCGTACACCTTTTCGGCCTAGCCGACTTTGGACTGCTAGCCTTCTAACCGGTGGGTGTTCCTACAGTTTGTACGTGAGGTAGCGTGTTGGACTCCTTCCTGCACATGGGCTTTGGTTTTCAACACGAGAGGCGTTATGCATTTCTCAAGTTTCCTCCTGCGTGCGCGCGTGCCCGCTTATCCCTGCAATTGCTGCTGCTGCTCTCCAGGGTGGCGCTGCCGCATAAATTTGAGCAATCGTTCGACTTGCTCTTCCTGAGCACGATACAGCTTCATGTTCGGGCGTACCACCGCGCGCTGCACGTTTTTCGCCAGATCTACAAACCGAGCGAACTTGTGCCCGTGAACGAAGAAATAATGCACGTGTAGTTGTACGCTCCTCAGAGTTTGTTCGGCATGCCGCAGACAGAAACCCGTCGACCATTCCGATCGTTGCCAGCCTATCGGCAAGTCTTGACGCAAAACGCATGCCAATACAATGTATCCAGGATGCTGCTGTACAAAACGAACGCAGCCTCCGAGAAAGTTGTGCGGGGTCACACACCATCGAACCCCTCCCCCGCACCCCAAGCCTCGGTTATGCTCGCACGTACATAGTTCTCCCTTGAAAAATGGGGGCATTCCAACATTCCAACACTGCTATGCATCTAACTGCTTCTGCTTTCATTTGTAGATGCCTGTTTTTTTTGCCTGTGTCCATCTTTCTAGCTGCTATATATAATACAGTAGCCTTTCTGCTGGGCACAGCAGTCGTGTGGCCATGGGAAGGGTCCGAGTCATCGGGCAGGCAGTGTACGGAGTTATGAGGGCACTGATACTGCTGTAGAGACAGAGAGCAGAAACCGGAACGGTTGTCAATGTTGATTCAACCAACGACAACAAGTAACCCCTTTGTGACGACACTGCTGTTCTGTGATGAATACGACCGCCCACATGCAGCAGGGGTCCTTGTACGAACGGAGTACGTAGTTGGTACAATTTATGCGCTGTGTCGTGTCACATCAATTCTCGTTGGACACTCACATTTACGTTCACTCTGGAATTTCCTAAATCATGGAACGAGCACACAGCGAAGTCTTCCACCCCACCAGGCGCGCTTGCCCACCCCTCCTCACAGCCGAAACCAACGACGAAAAGATAAAAGAATGAACGCTCTCTCGAAGGCGTCGCCTCTGAAAACGCAAACAAGCCGGAGAATCAACGTCACACGTCAAGCCCCGTCTCCTGCTGTCACTGGGAGTAGAGTAGAGGGCTGGCCGTGCCCGGACCGCGAAAACTGCCGCCACGGCCTGCTCCGCCCCACTTCTGTTCTCTGCGGTGATTAAAAACAACCACACATCCTGACCAACTCAAGAACGTCCCACTTGGTGTGCGTTTCGCGCTTACTTCTACCTCACATTACGTTTCGCTCTCCGCGAAGGGCGGCGGAGCAAACGAAACGAAGGACGGGGGGGGCGGTAGCCCCCCGCGGCTGAGCCCTTGTATATATAGTGCAATCTGCAAACCTCGGCAATAATCCATTTCGAAAAAACGGGACGTGCCGAATTCTTGTTATGCAAATGTAAATGTAGAACCAGATACACACCCGCGGGAGTAAAGTCCGCCCGGTCCTGTCCGGCTGGCAGAGACAGTTTGCACTCACAGAGGTACGCAATTAGTTTCACCACATCCAGCACGCACACCCGCCGTTCTAGTTACAGTAGAGCAGTAGTGGTAGTTCGCATACACCGCACGTTCGCCGCAGTTTTTTTTTACTGGGGCTGAACTCCCGCTGCTGGGAACTGTAAACTCATGTTTTACAATTGATGCTACACCTGCGCAAGGAAAAAGAGCCGAAAGCTGAAGACCTTTCGGGTAGCGAAAATCCGTCCGATGTCTGAAACTTTCCGTTGGGAGGAAGGAGGGTTCTGAGTGTTTTTGTGGTACCCGGTAGCGTCATCTGCTACACATGTGAAACAATAGTTTGTGTGGCAAGCTGTCGTGTCCTCTCTTTCAACCACAAGCCGTGCATTGGCAGAGTTTTTAACCGATCCACCGTCGTGTGTCGTGAACATCAGGGAGGATGCTCTCTCGCGCGCGCCTCGCAAAACATTTTGGGCTGGATCAGCGAGAGGGTCTTGCTAGTCTCTATCAGCAGCAGCAACAACAGCAGCAGGAGTACAAGGTAGACAGAAGGGGTTTTCAACTCCACATGGTCCGCACCTTGCTGGGCCTGGTCCGCTTGCCACCTCCGAATATTGTTCATCTATTTTTTCAATCAGCAATGAATGTACACCACGCGCAAGGAGGTTCGGCAGTCTTACGTAACAGACACACAAGTACGGAAGCAACTTATCCCCCCCCCCCCCCAC